GCGGGGGGGGGGAGGGGCTCAGATATGATATTTACCTACCTGAGTGTTCCAGAGATGAGCGCCTCACCTGAGTTGGAGAGATCACCAGCAGAGGGCGCCGCAGACACTTCTCACCATCAATACACTTGCAGTAGATGTGACCCCCAAATACAGGAAATCACAATTATATTTATTGTTGAATATAAAATCCCCCCCCTTTGTACTGCGGATCTCTGGCAGCCTCTTTCCAGCCACTTCCTGTCTACACGACTTCAGTACGTTTCCTGATGGTGACAACAGAAGAACATGTCTGTGTACTGTAATAACTAATGTAGTCTCCATCAGAGGCCAGGTGACAACAAAAGGAGAGCAATTGGGAAACAGGAACAGAGCGTTGTCACCCTATAACAGGAAGTGTGAACAAGGACCTCCCATGGCGGGATCACCGGGCTGAAAAGGATTTGTGAAATCTCGGTGAAGATCAGTACCAATAAATACACATGGGGGGGAAGGGCGGGGGAAGTCATCAAATCTGGAGCAGCCGTGCACAGCGACCAATCGGCTTCTCGCTTTCATTTATAAAGCGTAACTGAACAAACTGAAGAGAGAAGCTGATTGGTCGCCGTGCACGGCTGCTATTGGGATGGGTGGGGATCTCCGGGGTGACTACGTCTCACCTCACTTCGGGGTCTCCGGGAAAACGTGTCCGGATTCGTCTGAGCATCACACTACACCGGGGGCGGGCCCTCTAGCTATTGCGGAACTACAAGTCCCATGAGGCATTGCAATGCTGACACCCCCGGTGCTATGATAGGATTTGTAGTTAATGCTCAGGCGGAGGTGCCCACAGACGGCTCAGCATCACATGACCAGTTCGCGGTGAGACGGCAATCTGATAATAATCATACAATTCACAGACAAACCTGGACGCACTCTGATGACATCACACGGATGAAGCTTTATTATTCCGGACAACACCCACAGAAGTCCCGCCTCCCTCCCAGGCGCACGCATTGTCCGGGATAATAAAGTTTCCCCCATGTGGTGTCATCATGTCACATGTGCAGGGCGTGTCCTTCCTCAGAGATAAGCGGGCTGCAGGAGTGGCGGCTTCTTCTCAGTGCCCTGCAATACGAGGCCGCCACAGACAGACCCTCACCAGCGGGTACATGAGGGCGGAGCTTGCAGCAGGAAGAACATGGCCGCCACAGACATACACCGCACCAGCGGGTACATGAGGGCGGAGCTTGCAGCAGGAAGAACATGGCTGCCACAGACAGACCCTGCCGGCAGGTACATGAGGGCGGAGCTTGCAGCAGGAAGGACATGGCCGCCACAGACAGACCCCGCCGGCAGGTACATGAGGGCGGAGCTTGCAGCAGGAAGAACATGGCTGCCACAGACAGACCCTGCCGGCAGGTACATGAGGGCGGAGCTTGCAGCAGGAAGGACATGGCTGCCACAGACAGACCCCCACCAGCGGGTACATGAGGGCGGAGCTTGCAGCAGGAAGAACATGGCTGCCACAGACAGACCCTGCCGGCAGGTACATGAGGGCGGAGCTTGCAGCAGGAAGGACATGGCTGCCACAGACAGACCCCCACCAGCGGTCATGAGGGTGGAGCTTGCAGCAGGAAGAACATGGCTGCCACAGACAGACCCTGCCGGCAGGTACATGAGGGCGGAGCTTGCAGCAGGAAGGACATGGCTGCCACAGACAGACCCCCACCAGCGGGTACATGAGGGCGGAGCTTGCAGCAGGAAGGACTGACATTCATCAGAACATGGCCGCCACAAACAGACCTCCGCTGGCAGGTACGAGGGCGGAGCTTGCAGCGGGAACAACATGTCCGCCACAGACCCCGCCTGCAGGTACGAGGGCGGAGCTTGCAGCGGGACGAACATGTCCGCCCCACAGACCCCGTCTGCAGGTAAATGAGGGCGGAGCTTGCAGCGGGAAGGACATGGACAGTCAGACTTGTATCTTTTTTTTAATAAAGTTTGTAATCCAATGGACACACACAAACAAAAACTCCAGAATGGGGGGAGGGGGAAGTCGATTCCATAAATTAAGAGGCGTCTGCAAAACGAAAACAAAAAAATAAAATACTGGCAGGGGGGGAAAATCTGGAGGACGTACGCCGGCTGAAAAGAGACCAGGACAGGAAATGAGGGACGGCCCAAAGAGAACCTGTCGTCACATATACAGCACGATGTCATAGGGCGCCCCCTAGAGGGAGGGATATGACTTACACCTGTGACCCCGCCCCCATCATACATCCCACTAATCCCATCCTAGGTCCATGCTGGAAAACAACATCTCCCCATCCCCCCCCTGGCTCCAACATCCTGGCCCCTCCCTCATCCTCCTGACCCCACCCTCCCTCCTCCTCCTGACCCCACCCTCCCTCCTCCTCCTGACCCCACCCTCCCTCCTCCTCCTGACCCCACCCTCCCTCCTCCTCCTGACCCCACCCTCCCTCCTCCTCCTGACCCCACCCTCCCTCCTCCTCCTGACCCCACCCTCCCTCCTCCTCCTGACCCCACCCTCCCTCCTCCTCCTGACCCCACCCTCCCTCCTCCTCCTGACCCCACCCTCCCTCCTCCTCCTGACCCCACCCTCCCTCCTCCTCCTGACCCCACCCTCCCTCCTCCTCCTGACCCCACCCTCCCTCCTCCTCCTGACCCCACCCTCCCTCCTCCTCCTGACCCCACCCTCCCTCCTCCTCCTGACCCCACCCTCCCTCCTCCTCCTGACCCCACCCTCCCTCCTCCTCCTGACCCCACCCTCCCTCCTCCTCCTGACCCCACCCTCCCTCCTCCTCCTGACCCCACCCTCCCTCCTCCTCCTGACCCCACCCTCCCTCCTCCTCCTGACCCCACCCTCCCTCCTCCTCCTGACCCCACCCTCCCTCCTCCTCCTGACCCCACCCTCCCTCCTCCTCCTGACCCCACCCTCCCTCCTCCTCCTGACCCCACCCTCCCTCCTCCTCCTGACCCCACCCTCCCTCCTCCTCCTGACCCCACCCTCCCTCCTCCTCCTGACCCCACCCTCCCTCCTCCTCCTGACCCCACCCTCCCTCCTCCTCCTGACCCCACCCTCCCTCCTCCTCCTGACCCCACCCTCCCTCCTCCTCCTGACCCCACCCTCCCTCCTCCTCCTGACCCCACCCTCCCTCCTCCTCCTGACCCCACCCTCCCTCCTCCTCCTGACCCCACCCTCCCTCCTCCTCCTGACCCCACCCTCCCTCCTCCTCCTGACCCCACCCTCCCTCCTCCTCCTGACCCCACCCTCCCTCCTCCTCCTGACCCCACCCTCCCTCCTCCTCCTGACCCCACCCTCCCTCCTCCTCCTGACCCCACCCTCCCTCCTCCTCCTGACCCCACCCTCCCTCCTCCTCCTGACCCCACCCTCCCTCCTCCTCCTGACCCCACCCTCCCTCCTCCTCCTGACCCCACCCTCCCTCCTCCTCCTGACCCCACCCTCCCTCCTCCTCCTGACCCCACCCTCCCTCCTCCTCCTGACCCCACCCTCCCTCCTCCTCCTGACCCCACCCTCCCTCCTCCTCCTGACCCCACCCTCCCTCCTCCTCCTGACCCCACCCTCCCTCCTCCTCCTGACCCCACTCTCCCTCCCTCATCCTCCTCACCCCCCTCGCCCTCATCCTCCTGACCCCATACTCCCTCATCCTCCTGGCCCCTCCCCCTCCCGATCCCACACTCCCTCCCTCATCCTCCTGACCCCTCATTGCGGATCATACGGCTCTCACGCACCTGGTTGGATCCGGGGTTGGGCACGTTGATGATGCCCGCTGCCTGCTTCGCCTGTAGGTAGGTGATGAAGGCGGCTTTCAGCGACTCGGTCTGATTCACCACGTCCTCCTGATCGCGGCCACACGGAAGTGCGAGTAGCAGGCAGTAGTCGCTCTCCACCTGGGAACATGAGATGAATTGTATTTATATAACACGTGTCACCGGCTGGGGATTGTGCCGCTCGCGGTGGAGGATCGGGTGCAGGAGTTACAGCTGTTGTGGGGCGGCACATGGCGGAGGTCAGCGTGTCCTCACTTCCTGTAAAGTCTCCGGAGACGCATCACTTCCAGCTGGGGGGGGGGACCTGAGTGTTTACATGACAAACCACATGGTCCCAATAACCAGGAAGTGGTCAGGGCACGCATCGTTTTACCACTTCAGCATCCTCACCAGTGTCACAATGGAGGAGGATGAAGTCGGCGGGGCCCTGACCATCTGTACCAGGTGACAAAGCTAACTGTGAAAGGCGGAGTGCACCAATCCCTGTACTACGGGGCCCGAGACACCGGAACACCTCAGGAACTCACCATCATGCGGCGGGCGACTCCCTCCAGCTGAGTGGCCTCCAGCCTCATACGCTGAGCGATCCTCAGGGGAGGTCCTCCCTCGGGGGCGGGCAGAGACCGATGAGCCAAGACATTATTCCCAGATACAAAGTGCAGCTGGACAGCAGCAGTGTCGTTCTTCAGAGCCAGCAGACCTTGCCACACTATGGGGTATTTCTGGAAGACGAGAGAGAGAGAGAGAGATTGGGTCAGAACAAAGGAAGCTTCTAGAAGAAAATGTCTATTTAGGGTTATTATTGGGAACAACGAAGAGAGAAAACGACACGAGGAATGAACACAAGTTCTGGGACTTTCAAAGACTGTATTCCCATAGCACATAGGAGGAGGGAACGCGAGGAGGGG